TTCAGCCTTCTCTGGTGGTGTGTTAGCTAATTAGAAGCAGCCGTACAGAGGTGTAGGAAACGACTATGCATGGTATTGCAGCTAGGCAGTCGAAAGCTGATGGCTACGCAAAACAAATTCTGAGCATCTTCATTTCTAACCTCTCTCTCTCTCAGAGAAACCCTAGCACTCTATCGCTTTCTCCTTCGACCTAAATCCTACTCTCTCTACGCTCTTCTTGATTTTGTTTGCAGGTTTTCATCATAGTAGCTAATTCTTGATTTTGTTCATTAAGAGCTTTTGTCTTCTCCTCCCTGCCTGTGAGAATTTGATTGTAGCGTACAGGTATAGTTCATTAGTGCCTTTTAAAAATAAAAGAATGGAAAGAAAAAATTACACCTTCCTTCATCATTTTATCAATGTTAACCATTCTGCAACGTGTTGGGTTGTTTTTAATTGATTTTGTCACATGGTAATTATTTTAATTTATTGATTACAAAAGAATGTTTGCTTTTATCAAAGTTGTCATAGACCTCATTGCTTATTGGACTCAAGAGGATCATATATGGGGCTCACCCAATCCAAATAAAGGACAGACTATAAATTGGATCCAAAAGACTCTAAAAGCCTAGAAAGTTTCGAAAAAAGCTAAAATCCAGTTCACAATTCTATTGCCAATGTTGGTACAAATCCTTCCATCCCATTTTCTTTTTACATCAAACCCTTTTTTTTTTGAAGTTCCTCAAAAATAAAAAGGCTGTTAATATGAATGAACAAGTTCCTAACATGTAATATAGAGTATAACTACCCACAAATTTTAGATAATGAAAGATTATAAAATTTAGATTATAAACTATTTTTCATTTGTTTGGTTCATTTTTATGGAATTTTTCAAAACAAGATTCAGATTATGAAGGATTATTCTGTACATTTCAGATTATAAAGCATGCATATTTACTTTGGATTATTCTAGCAAGGATGGTTATGACTCACCTAACCGGTGAAAACTGGTCTACCTATCCTCCTGCAGAGGAGATGTTTGCAATTAATGGAAGTTGAATGAACAAGCCAAAGAGCTAATTATCAAAGAAGATGGTATTTAGCAGGGTGGTTGAATATATATCTATATGATATTTAGCAGGGTGGTTGAATTAGGGGTGGTTCTGGTTCAGTTCTGAGTCTTTTTCCCCCTTATTTGGTTGGTACCAGCTCTGTAAGGATAATCTTGCAGTTAGAAGATTCAAAGTCAAAAAAGGCATCGACCTGTTTTGGTGTCAAATATATTTGCTAGATTAAAAGGAGGATTATTTGAGATTGAACCAAATAAGAAGGTAATGAAATACATGACTGTCCAAAAGAAGTAGCAAGATGTGTTCTTTTCCTCTTGGGATCTTGGATGGGAGAAATCTGTCTTGGCTTGTGTGTTTGTTTGTATTTGGGTGGCTGGGTTTATTTTGAGTTTTATTATTGTCAAATTGGATCATGGTGCATGATTTTAGTTTGGTTCTCTTCTTTCTTTTTTCATTGGTAAAGCTGCTATTTGGCATCTAATTTCTTGTATTGTTCGGGTGACCTATGGTCACCTTCGCCTCCTTATGGCTTTCATTTTTATTTTAATATTTTTTGTTACCAAAAAATGATGATCAGTATTGATAAAAAAAATGATGGCCAGGATCAAAACCCATTTACAGACATGTATAGTCTCCCTACCCTAACCTTGGCCATTATTTTCTTTTTTTGCTCTACATCTTTATTTTTCTTTTCTTACCTCCTTTGTTGTCAATGTTGTTGCATATGAATTTTCTAATTTTTATTTGGAAAATCCCACAAAGAAGGTTTATTATCCATCTAAATGAGGTTTTTAGGTTATTATCTCAAAATCTGGCTCCCCATAAATAATGTCTACAAGTCTAGGGCACCATACTCCCTCCTGTTGTCCACCATATCACCAATTTTTAGTGACCCTCTACTTAACTCCTGTTGGATTTAGAGACTAGCATAGTGTCAAGCCTTGATGTCGAGCTAGGATTTATGCCTTGGAATTCTTGTCTCCTGTAGGCTCGCTATACCTGAAAACTGTCTCCATTGTGATGTCCAAATCTCCAAACCCTTCAGAACTCTGGATTACCCAATACAGTTTTGTAGTCTCCTACTCTTAGGAGAATTTTCTTAAACCACAGGATTCACTAACCTTGTGGTGAAGGATGTTGCCATAAAAATCTCCTTTTTTTATGATGTTGTCTATAGGGATCTGGAAGTCAGCTCGTTATCACATGCACAACACATTGGTAACCAAAGAAAAGATGGTGGCATTCCTAGGATAATTTGCTGACAAAAAATGGGCATATGGGCTTAGGCTCTCAGTCTTGAATGGATCAAGTATATGTATGTTACTGTTATGGTGATTTTTATCATTTTTGAAAAGGTATACATTCATTAATTAAAGAAGAAGTGAAAAGAAATACTTAAGATCGAAGAAAAAAATTCAGGTAGGTTGTGAATTGTGACAAATTAGTAAAAGTTAAGGCACTTTTACATAAACTAGTCAAACAGACCAGCATGGGATTTCTTGTTTATACACAACCTTTTCCAATTAAGATTGAGTGAGTAGCCCAAAATAGATCCATATATTCCAAAACCCTATTTCCTGTTGTAGGCTTGGGTCTGATGGCTCTTTGTGGTGTGATAGTAGGAGTCATGGTCTTTCCTGTTCTATTTCGTAAAGAATCAAGAAGCATGAAAGCCATAAAATTTAAGTTTTGGTGATAAAAAGATGTATGAAAATTCAAAAGGTAACTTATTTATTTAAATTAGTGTAAACACAAATGTATGGCTAACCTAAAGATTCCCCTATTAGAAGGTTGGTTTGGATTTCTGAAGCTAGCCAGCCTAACCCTAAGGGAAGGAGATCTTCGGAATGAACTGATTGGAACAAAGGATTTTCCATTACTTTGCATAAAAACAAAGGAGTTTCACTCCATGCTCCCCCCTCTCTCTCTCATACACAGATTGCATATTCAACATGGTGTTGTGTGCTGTAGAATGAACACAAATTTTATTTCCTACAGTTTGTATGTTTAATTATGCTATTCAACTTTTTTGTAAAGCATGGTCATGTTGTGAAATGACACGAGGATTTGCTAATTCTCTATCGTTTTCTGGTTTGTGTAGTGTGACTTAGCATCCTTAGATGGGCGACATACAATCAGAAACCCACATGCCCTCCCTCGTGCCCTCAGTGTAAGCATCCATTCAAGTTTCTCAATGTTCATCGGTCACTTGATGGCAGGTACAATAACATTTCTTGCTTTTGTTGGTAGAATAAGACAGGGAGGTAGAGCCAACTATATGCTGATGACCAAAATGTCCCTGTTCTTGACAGCATCCATGACTGCATGTTTGAGGAGAGTGTTTGCCCACTTCTTAGAGCCACATGGTTCAAACATTGACAGTGGAGGTTCAGGGAGAGGTTTATGATGAATTTGATGACCTTTATCAGTATCAGTATGAATATGAATACAAGGATGAAGAAGATGATGATTTGGATGAAGTTTACTTTTGGTAAAAAAAGGATGAAGTTTACTTTAGTAGTTCATCAAGTATTTGTATAGGTAACCATAGGTGTGGAGATGATGACATTGTATGTGGTTTTAGGAGCTTGATTTCAAGCTGTAGCTGGGGAATTCAAGTGAATTGATCCTTTGTTAGGTCATTTATATTTAAATTTCTCTGTACTTGTTACTTTATAGTCTATTCACATAATCTTTTTCTTCCCAATCAAAATGAATCATGAATTTGTTGTGAAATTGTATATTTCACCTCACCTACCTTGGTTCCATGTTTAGTGACAATCCCCATGGCTGTCTACTTTATGACTTTGTGTGAAGAAGATATCGCTTAGAACTGAACTGATGAAGAAAACATTGACTGGATGGATATGGTGAGGGTGTAAGAACATAGACTTGCAAAGCCATATACCTGGTTGATCGGATTATGTTCATTCATCCATGAATTCAATGCTTGATGGTTATTACTTGATCTAAATGGCAGATAGCATGTGGAAAGAATGACCATGGAATATCCGGATTCAGTCCTCACAAAATTTATCTTCACACCATCCTCACAACACTTACAGTCATGCACTTGGAACAACACACCAGAGTTTAGTTAACCCATATGAGCACACCAGAGTTTAGTTAACCCATATGAAGATGAGTAAGAAGAGTTCATTGTTAAAGCCTTTAGGCCATTACTTGATTCAATTGATAGTAGAACCAAATGATGAAAGGGTAGAGTGCTAATATGTGAAAATCATATGCTATGAATGAAACACAAGTGGATGTATACTAATTTAAAGACTCCCGGCCCATGCTAGCACGGGCCCTTCTGCTAGTACAAGAAGAAAGGAGATATGTAAAAGTGAGAAAAAAGCGTCTAAGATATAAAATGAGACTACTAGAAAGCCAATTTAGGTTTATCCCTTGGAATCAACTATTCGAGCTATATTAGCATATGCAATTAATAGAGAAGTTTAGAGAGAAAAAAAAAATCCTCACATGGTATTCATTGAGCAATAGAAAGCATATAATAGATTACCTAAAGAGATATTATAGTGGAGTTTGAGTAAAAAAGTTGTCTCAACCAAAGACACATGATTACAGTATTTACATATATTATACTGCCTAGGTGACTAGGAGCTCCACTTTTGCCCAGAATCACCTAGACGCCTTGGCAACTATGCTCATAATTTAGCAATAGATATGACACTAAACAGAACGGAATGGTAAAACAGGATTATGTGGCCAATCCGATATGGGTGGAACAAAGCTTAGATGATGATGTCGATAAATTATAACTATGGAATTACCATTAGAAATTCTGATTGTTCCAGAAAGGAAGAAAAGGAAGAGAAAAATAGCCTCTGATCTGTTATTCAATAGGGAAGAAATGGGAATATAGTTCTACACACACAGAGAGAGAGAGAGAAAGAGAGAGATTGAAGCATGTAACAAAAGACATACCTACCATGATCAGAAGTCAGCACAACCTTTGGTAACTTTCCTGTACCTTCTGTAATTTGGACTCCAAAAGAAAGAGTTTCTTGGCGTAAGTTTGCAAAGGTTACGCCAACAGTTCTACACACAAACCAAGAAAAGCTTTTCAGAACACTTTTACACAATGAAGTTGTATATTTTCTGACCACTATGATCTAAAAGGAATCAAATGTAGTTGTTTCGTCGTTAACAAAAGATTTGCGGAGCTGAGTAAACG